CCTGTGGCTCTTTCTCAGGAACACCTTCCTTGATGGGAGTCTTTCTGCTGTCCCTTTCCCTACAGAAGTTCCGTTGTTTTGGGGGGGGGCAATAGAAGTGGCAGACAGCTGCTGTCGCAGCTGGAGAAACTGTTAACTCTTTCCTCACCACATCTTAAAATTGTTTGCTAGTGGGTCTGTATTGAAACTTGTTTCTCTCTTCTTTCCTATAATGGCAGTTCTTGTGGCCTCTGTACCTTTTGAGTTAGCTAATTCTCTGGCTTTAGACAAAGGGCCAGCTCTTATCTTTCTTTATGCGGCTATCCTAAACTTCCATTTCATTTCCTTTAATTTCCTGCTCCCTGTACACCTCCCCTCCCTCAATAAACCTATTAGTTAAAAGTCTTGCTCTGTTCCTTGTCTCTGAAAGACCTTACATTTTTTTTTGGTAGCCCTTGCGGGTAGGCTGTCTAGGCTAGGACTAGGGTGGCGCTTTCCCTTGCTCTAGCCACTAAAGTCCCCAGCAGCCTTCCCGGACCCCATGGAATGAACCTAGAGAAGAGATCTGGATAGCTGCACAACAGAGGGGTGATGGAGTACATGTCCCAAACTTGGATAGACCCGTGGGCTTCAATGTGGTCTCTAGATGAGACCCTAATTGGAATTATCAGACAGGTCATGAAGATGGCATTCTTTCTTCGAGGTGATATGATTTTGTATTTCATTGAGGGTTTGCAGAAAGCCGAAAACAAGGCAGTCAATTATGACAAAATTCAGGAAATCATTCAGGAACCAAATGAAAATTCTGCCAAATTTCTGTCATGGCTTTCAGAAGGTTTGCTTAACCTTAACCAAGGAAGACCTTACTACACCAGAAGGGATCGTTGTACTTCACTCAAATTCCATCTCACAATCAGTTCCAGACATTAAAAGAAAACGTAAAAGATTAGAACAGAGACCCCCAGACTTCACAACAACATCTTCTCAATGCAACATTCAAAGTTGTAAACAATAAGGAGGATCAGGAAAAGTTATATAAGCTGCAAAGAGATAAGGCTAAATGCCAAATGCTAACAAGTGCCCTCCAGGGCAGAGTGGGTATGTCTAAACCAGTTAATGGGCTTTGCACAAGTATGCCACCAGAACCCTGCTTCAAATGCTCCCAAATGGGGCATTGGGCAAATGTATGCCTTAATTCGCAACCTCCAAGAAGGCCATGTCCACACTGCAAACAGGTCACTGGGGAAATGACTGTCCCGCTCGACAGAGAGCAGCAGGTGGGATAGTTTATTCCACTAGACCAACAGAGCAAACTGCTCCAGACACTTCAGTGTCAGAGCTGCTTGGCTTGAGCCCAGGGTAACTTAAAGGATGCCTTCTTTTCTATCCTACTTGATGAAAGGTCCCAAGGCCTCTTCGCCTTTACCTAGACAGACCCCAATACCTTATGTTCTTAACAGCTGTGTTGGGGGTTTTGCCCAGGGTTATTTAAATAGCAACCACTTATTTAGCCAAGCCCTAGTGACCAACATCCTGTCCCTAGACCTTTTCCCCCAACTTCCTTTTCCACTGTGTGGATGACCTGCTATGTACTCCCTCCCTTTCAGATTCCCCAAATCACACCAATGTTCTTTTAAACTTCCTAGCAGATAAGGGGTACCCAGTGTCCCCCACCAATGTACAGCTTTCTATCCCCTCTGTTATCTGTCTGGGAGTCTGACTCACAAAGAATTCCAGAGAAATTATAGTAGACAGAAAGCAGCTTTTTGCTCAACTCCCAATTCCCTCTTCAAAAACTGAAATTCTCTCCTTTCTGGCCCTCACAGGCTGTAGATTCCTAATTTTAGCATGTTAGCCAAACCTCTCTGAAGCGGCTAAGGGGTAACTCACTGAACCTTTAGATCCAACAGCATCCATTGATTAAACCATACACCATTGATTAAACCATACAAAAACACTTAAATCTGCCCTGCTATCAGCTCCTTGTCTTTCTCTCCCTAATCTAACCCTCCCTTTTATTCTATATGTACATGAAACTCGTGGTATGGCTTGAGAGTCCGAGGCCAGGAAATAGGACTCTATAGCTCCAGTAGCCTATTTATCTAAACAGTTAGACCCACTGTACAGGGATGGGCCCATGCTTATGGGCCGTGGCAGCAGCTGTTCTCCTAGCCCAAGAAAGCTCAAAATTACTTTGGCCAGGGCACTGTATTCAATCCCTTCATCATTTATGGGACCTACTCTCCCACCATACACTATCATCCCTTACCCCTTCTCATCTACAACTATTTCATCTCACCTTTATTGAGAGTTCAAATTTTACATTCCAGTCCTGCCCAACACTAAATCCAGCTGCACTAATTCCCATTTCTTCATTCCCATTCCAACACTCCTGCACTGAAACCCTTGATCTGTTTGCCACTCCACTACCTCCCATCTCTGCCTCACCCTTACCCAATCCAGATGACATGTGATTCCTAGATAGCAGTTCACCTCTCATCTCTAAGGCTGTATATCAAGCTGACTGTGCTATAATTCATTCCTCAGGTACTGTTGAGGCATGCCCCTTTCCCAAGAACACTACCTCTCAAAAAGCAGAGCTTATTGCTATGACACTAGCCTTAACCTTAGCCAAAGACAAAAGGGTAAATATTTATACAGACTTAAAATATGATTTTTATTTTTTACTTTGTTTTTGTTTTAAAAAAATCATTTTATTAGGGGCTCATACAACTCTTACCACAATCCATACACACATCAATTGTGTAAAGCGCATTTGTACATTCATTGCCCTCATCATTCTCAAAACATTTCCTCTCCACTTAAGTCCCCGGCATTAGGTCCTCATTTTTCCCCTCCCTCCCTGCTCCCCCCTCCCTCATGAGCCCTTGATAATTTATAAATTGTTATTTTGTCATATCTTGCCTTATCCGACATCTCCCTTCACCCACTTTTCGGTTGTCCGTCCCCCAGGGAGGAGGTCACATACAGTTCCTTGTAATCGGTTCCCAAATATTATTTTCGTATTTTACATTCTCATGCCACTGTATGGCAGGGAAGCGGATATCTGACGACCAAAGGACAGTCAATTACTAATGGCAACCAACTTCAACAGCTTTCACAGGCTGATCCACTTCCATGACAGGCAGTTATTCTTCACTGCAAGGGACACCAACATTCTAGTGATCCCATAGCAATAGAAAACAACAAGGCAGACACTGAAGGCAAGAAAGCCACCCTCCAGACCACACGCAATTTACAACTAGTAGCCATCCCTCCCATCTGCCCTCCACACACTCCTGTAGAGAAACAGGAACTCCTTTTTAAAGGGACTCAATTCAAAGATGGATAGATCATGATCTGTCTTACCAGACACACAGGCACTGTCTATCCTAACTATGTGCATAGCACTCTGCATGTAGGGTACCGTCCTCTTTTGCAACTAATAAAATCCCTCTTTTCTCACCCACGCATATTCACGTTGATCCAACATCACACCAGGATGTACTATGTGCTCTATAACATCATCTCGGGGAGGAATTCATCCCCGCTCATTTCCTGCCCCCCAGGCTAGAGGACATATCCCTGGACAAGACTGGCAAGTCGATTTCACACGCACATGCCTCTTCCTAAAAAGGTCAAATACCTGCTCGCAGTTGTTAACACTTTCTCAGGATGGGTAGAAGTATTTCCTTCTACCTAAGAAGGGTATAAGGATGCAGGTCACCCAGATACTCATAGATGAAATCATTCCTCATTTTAGTTTGCCAGACTCCCTACAATCAGACAGTGGTCCAGCCTTCATCTCACAAGGAGCCCAGCTTATAGCTCAGACTCTCAATATAAAATGGGATCTACACATACCTTACCACCCTCAATCACCAGGAAAAACAGAAAAAGCTAACCACATTCTTAAATCTCACTTGTCCATACTGTCTCTTCTTCACCTGCCCTGAACTCAGCTCTTACCACTTTCCATTATGTGTGTAAGAGCCATGCCACACAAACCTCTTCTCAACCCATTCAAGTATAGCGACCCTTTTAGGAAACTTTACTTCTTCCTCACCTCCATTAGGGGACTATATGTCCCTACTCTGAACCTCGTCAGACATATTCTCAGGACACAAGCAAACATGCACTTACCTCAAACCTATCCCACTGAAGAGGTACATTTTTCAGTCTCCCCAGGCAACAAGTATTATGAAAGTCAAGACAGCTTGGTCCCCTAGAACCTAAATGGGAAGGGCAATACACAGTCCTTCTAACTACTCCCACAGCAGTAAAACTGTTAGGAGAACCCTCCTGGTATCACCTTTCTTTTTTTAAATCATTTTATTTGGGGGCTCATACAACTCTTATCACAATCCATACATACATCAATTGGTATCACCTTTCTTTGATCAAAGCTTTCCCTCCTCAACTTCCATCCTCCTCGACTAATCAATCTAATAAGAAAATTAACCAATCTGTGAATTCCTATTCCTCCCAGCTACTAGGGCTAACAAAGATCAAATAAGCTTGTGAACTTTTTCAGATTCCGGAGAATAGAGATGTCAGCGCTTCTGCAATGCCGGTTTCAGAGCTTCCTGGAATGTGCGTTGGAAGATTGCTCCTGGTTCCATCCTATTGACAACACTTACGAGGCATTTTGGGAGTGGATACAAGACCTATGGCTCCAGGGTGCATTCATGACGTTTACTTCTGAGGAAATAGAATTTTTTGCATTCCTGTTACTCTGTTGCCTTGCCGTACCGCCTATGACATCAGAAATCCCATTGTGTTAGCCAATCCAATGAGTTTCTCTTCTGATGTAATCTTTGGAGACCCGTTTACTCCATGATATGTTTCATGTGTGGGTCCTGCCACTCCTAGAACCTTTCAGTTAAATATATATATTTCTATATTTCAGACCGTGCTTGTGTCGTTGTTCTTAAAGGTTTTTTTTGCAGGGATATATACGTGTCTTCATCAATCAGAACCTAAATGGAGCTATACATGGCTGGATTCCAACTCAAAGCACCTGCCGAACCCTGACAATTTTAGGTTTTCATCGTCCATGTCCAGCTGGAGGTAACTACAGAAGAAAAGAGATCTTCAGCCATATTCCATATTATTAAAAGGTAGGGCTCTAGGGTCCAGTGGCAGCATTACTGAAGGCAGCAGTAGACATACATGTCTTCTGTTTAAAAAGCTTACTCTGTCTATCTTCCCACCCAGATAAGTGACATCAGCCCGCCAACACTGGCGTCTGGCCCATTGGCGTTATCTTTCTTCTTTCCTGTAATAGCAGTTCTTGTGGCCTCTCTACCTTTTGAGTTAGCTAATTCTCTGGCTTTAGACAAAGGGCCAGCTCTAACCTTTCTTTATGTGGCTATCCTAAACTTCTGTCTCATTTCCTTTAATTTCCTGTTCCCTACAAATCTTACCTCCCTCAATAAATTTATTAATCAAAAGTCTCGCGCTTTCTCTTATCTCTGAAAGACCTTACAGCTAGTGGATCCTATACTGTTCTCCACACATTCAAGGTCCACTGGACAGTGTTGGTGAGTGCAATTTGAGTGAAATCCCTGGTAACAGTGGCTTGCATTGCAGGGTCTAACTGCAAGTTTCGTAAATTCAAACCCACCAGCTCCTCTGAAGGTGAAAGATGAGGCTTTCAGAAACCCCGAGGAACATTTTTACTCTCCTGTAAGAATCAAAACCTGGGGTTGCTGTCAGTTGGGATTGACTGGACTTCACCTAACAATGAGGTTAACAAAAGCATCGGATACAGAAAGGCTTGCTAAGATGTTAATGCTTTTGACCAAGTTTTAATAGAATCTCTCGACAAGTACATCTGTGATAATTTATCATCGCTAGTTTTCAGGCCTTTGTTTTTTTAAAAAATCATCTTTCAGCTGCTTTAAGATTCCAGAATTCCCTTTGAGAAACATTGCTTTCATGTGGCAGAAACCCCTGAATTTCAGTCCTTGTGAAGTCTCGGAATGGCAACTGAGGACATCTGAGCTCATGCAGACAGGCCTTACCTATAGTGGCCCCAGGCACGGCGGCACAGTCCTCTCTGGATATCCTCCAGGGTTCCACTAGGCGATGGTCATTTCCTGACAAAACTCCAGGGCCAGACACGGGCTAGTCTGAGGAAGGCCTCTTAGTCATGGAACAGGCTGAAAGGGCCACAAGCCAACAGCCAGCCTGGCAACCCTCAGGAGTCAAAGAAGGTCAAGATGTAAACCCATACAAAAGGGCTTCAAAACGTTTGTGGAAAAATGCCATGAACTTTTAATTCCATTTTCCCATGAGCTTTTTGACGCTCTCTCGTGCAACAGGGCTTGTTGTTAGGTGCGATCAGGTTGGTTGGTTCTGATTCATAGCGACTCCATGTAGTGATCTGATGTACAGCAGAACAAAACACTGCCTGGGCTTGCACCATCCTTACGATTTTTGTTATGTTGGAGCCCATTGTTAGAGCCACTGTGTAAATCCATCTCGTTGAGGGTTTTCCTCTTTTTTGATGCCCCTCTTCCAAGCATGATGTCCTTTTCCTGGGACTGGTCTCTTGATACTATGTCCAAAGTATGTAAGACAGTCTTGCCATCCTTGCCTCTGGCAGGGAGCACCCTGGCCATATTTTTTCCAAGGTAGATTTGTTTGTTCTTTTGGCAGTTCATAGTACTTGCGATATTCTTCACCAATGCTGAAATTGAAATGCATTGAGTTTTGTTATGTTCTTTAGTCAATGCCCAACTTTCAAATGCACCTGAAGTGATTGAAAATACTATGGCTTGGGTCAGGAACACTTTAATCCTCAGACCAACATTCTTGCTGTTCAATGCTTTCAAAGAGGTCTTGTGCAGCACATGTACCCATTTAAATGTATCATTTTAGTTTCTTGATTGGTGCCTCCATGAGCATTGATTGTGGATCTAAGCAAGAACTCCGTAACTTCAACTTTATTCTTTTCTTTGTTTCTCTTGATGTTGTCTGTTGGTCCAGTTGTGAACATTTTGGTTTTCTTTACACTGAGATGTAATCCATACTGAAGGTTTCAATGGGGGTGGGGGTGGGGTGGGGGAGGAAGCATTAAAGAACTAGAGGAAAGTTGTATGTTTCATTGCTGCTATACTGCACCCTCCTCAAACCTATCCCACTGAAGAGGTACATTTTTCAGTCTCCCCAGGCAACAAGTATTATGAAAGTCAAGACAGCTTGGTCCCCTAGCACCTAAATGGGAAGGGCAATACACAGTCCTTCTAACTACTCCCACAGCAGTAAAACTGTTAGGAGAACCCTCCTGGTATCACCTTTCTTTTTTTA